GGGAAGGAAGAAGCGAAGCCGGCGGTCACGTGAGGGGGGCGGCGCGGGCGCTGCCGGGAGTGCGGCAGCGGGGCGGCGGGGCGAGAGCGGCCGTTAGTGCTGCCGCCGCCTCAGGTGAGGCGCCGGGTGGCGGGAAGGAGCGATGCGGGGGATGCGGCGTCCCCCGCCCAGGGGTTTGGCTTGTGTGAGGGGAGTAATGGCTGCCGCTGGCCCGCTGCTGTATAGGCCGGCGTCTCCGGGCCGCCCGCCCCACCGGGAGGTGGCTGGAGGCCGTTTCTGCTCGTCCCATCGGCGCGGGGGGTGAGGCGGGAGAGACCCCCCACACACACACCCCGGGGGAGCTCGGGGAGGCCGGGGGCTTTTTTCGGTTGGAAGTGGCACTGGATGGCTGAGGTGCTTCGGTATAACTTGGCCAGCCGCGGATGGAAACCGCTCCTCGTCCGGTTTTCTTGTTGCTATTGTGCTCCCGTTTAATTAATCTAACGGCTTCGGTTCAGCTTCCTTAGCGTTGTTTTCCCGCGCCTCGCACTCCCCTGGGTCTGGGTCCACAACGACTGCTTCGTTTCTCTATGTTTTTTTCTTTAGCAGCCGGTCTCGTTCTTCGCAGGCATAGCTGCTGTGCCAGGGGACTGAACAAGGCGGGCCTTGCAACAGAAGGAGCAAGACTGGGAGAAGAGGGGAACAGCTGTGCTAAAATGAGCGTAAATGGTTGCGGAGCAAGTCTGGGAAGCTTTCTGTTGACACAAAGAGGGAGAATTGTTTTTTACTCGTGCTGCTTATCTGTGGTTATTGTTATAAGCTGCAGCAGTATAAGCATAGATAGCTAACTGTTCCTATAAAAACTCAGTTGTCGTGACTTAATGTGATACTGTGCTCCTGTAGCTTGTTCCAGCTGTGGAAGCATAAATACATTGTTCCAAACTCTCTTCAACGCAATTAAAATGAATAAATTAGGCTTGGTGGTTGGTCAGCGGAGAAGGTGTACAAATGCCACTTGTTAGTACAACTTAGTTGAAGGCTATCGATTCGGTTGTTTGCAATAATGTGTCTGCAGTGTAAATGTGCTGGCTGTGACGCTCCTGGTTCTGTGTGAGGTCAGCTTGTATGCAGCTGTGCTGTCTTCATCGAACTTGGTATGTCATTCACAGACTCGTCAATGTCATCGTTGCCGTTAAGAACTTGCTAGAAGAGCTTGGAAGAAAACTTGAAGAAAAACTTTCATATCGGTTGCATTAGGTACTGTTTGCATTGCGTTGAAAAGCAGCCTAAAGCAAATGCTGTTCAGAAGTTGTATGTAAACGTGGATTTCATCTAATCAGAAATGAACTAAAACTGCTTCAGTCATTTGGGGTTTTTTTTTTGTACTAGTAAGGTGAACCAATAAATCTTCATCAGTTAAGAAACAATGCTTGTTACAGCTTAAGCTCTTATGAATGAGCAACTGCCTTGTGTTTGTTGTACTAAATTTAGTTTACTAACATCTTAAGTACAGTTTCTGACTAACAATTATTTGGAAAACAAAGTAATTTAGTATAACGCTTGTATTCTCTTTCCTATTTAAAGGTGAAAAGTTCCGCAATGAGTAAACGCAAGTCAAAGGAGAGCAGTGGAGCAAATGGAGACAGTATTTCACAGGTTAGTAGCATCTTTATTAGCTGACTTTGTTTTTAAGTTACGGACCTTTCCTGTCCTCTGCCATCCATGTCATTCTATAGTTTTTTACTAGACCAGGTAAAAGGGCATGCACAGATACTTGATGTAATTTCTAGGGCTGTAAGTGGTTTTTGTTCTGTTTGTATTCCGTATTTCTTCCAGCTTCTGTCCTGATGCTTGCTTGCTTCAAGTGTTATGGTAATGATCTACTTTTTGGAGTCTTAATAAAAATGGTAAAGGGTGGTCTTTCGCTTTTACAGCTGTTTGCGGCTATAGATTTGCATAAATCTATTATTATCTAATCAGATTCTTTATCTTCCAGTTTGTAGGGTGAATCAGAACCTAGGTGACTTTTTTAACAGCCTAGATTAGGCAGGGCAGCAGCTGCTGAACCAGTTTTCAGTTTGTTTGGGTTTTTTTTAAGCTTTATTCTTCTGTTTTCTCAAAGTGGCTACTTAAAACCTGTGATGCATTTTGTAGCAAATTACCTCTGGTTCAGTAATTTCTTATACTTTAATATCTTTCCCTCACTTACCTATAAAATTCCTTTATAGGAGGAAAACCTTTTCCCTTGTGGATGGACAATGCTGACTGTTCATTAAAACAGAATAAATCTGGAAATTAAATCAGTAAGACTTTAGTAGAACAACAAGAGTACTAAAAACTCAGGTATATGAGCACAGCTCGGATTAAAAAAGGATTCCTTTCATAAAGTGGAATTGTTAGTAAAATAGATTTTCTTATTGTTTTTCTATCCATTATTTGGTTTTGCTGAGGAGTACTACACAAAGGTGTGTCCACATGTATTTATTTTTAAACCAAACACCTAGAGCTGATGGTGATAATTCTGTCATAAATTATAAATTAGCTAAGCGTTAGAAGAAGATGTATCTTTGAGATACTAAAAGCCTGTTAGTAATGTACCTCAGAACAGTGTCCGATCAGCTAAAACGGGTGTGAATGAGTAACTGCTACCTAAGATGAGAGAAACACAAATCCTTCATGGTACAGTATTGTCTCCGTATATGTTTACCTGGGATAGAATGCTGCACTTATTTTCATTATTTCTTAGGATTCAGCAGAAATGAAAAAGGACTCGGTTAAGAGGTGCAACTGAAGAATGTAGAGAAAAAAACGTGGGGGGAAGATGAGCCAACTCTGATTAAGAGAATGGAAAACCAATGGTACAGATGTGCATGATAATGATATAGTTAGTTTTTAGGTCAGATGGCCATTCACTTAGACAGAAAGGCAAGGTGATTTTAAAGGAAAATCACTTCATTAACAGTTTGCGATTTAATCTCTGAAATTCTTTGACAATGAGCACTTAAATTGGACACCAAGCGTTATGAAAGGATGGAGCGTGCAGGTATTTTAGGATAGCTTAAATGAGGAATGGGGAGAAGTAGTAGTATAGAGTCCTGTAAATTTTTAAAAGATGGGATTGTCTTATCTGCGTGCTGCTAGTCAAGTGGTAGGAAGAATTCTGCTATGATGCTGAAGGTTGGCTGTTTGGGAATTGAAGATACAATTTTAAGTAACAGTTCTTAATGCGGAAAACAGAAGTCGGTGCAGATATCTAAAGATACCCCAAGGAGAACATCCAAACTAATAGTTAAAATGACTGTATTCACTGTGCGGTTTGAAGAACTTCAGAAGTTGATCTAAAAAGCAAGCTGGGTAGACTTCATTCCATCCTTTGTAAGCCATATATTACCTTCAGTTTCGTACTACTTCCTGTCCTCCTTCCAAACTGAACTGCATCTTCACAGGAACTGTAAATTTGATACTTTCTAACGTTTGAAGGCTGTAGGCTGCAATGTTGTTGCCAGTGGTGGAAAAAGTGTATTCACTGAGGACTGGGGGAAATAACTAAGTGGGTCGTTTTTTATTTAAGTCACCTGGTAAATGTTTTCTTGCCTGTATTACACAGTAAGTTAGAACTATGAATTAGATGAACTACTGACCTAAGTTTGGTGACAAGTATAACATTCCTTTGGGGGGGTGAAGGAAAGAAACTGTAGCAGAAGGGACCAAAGACACATATTGCTATAATTGAATTGAATTTTCCCTTTTCTGCTACAATGAGTCTGTTAAATATTCTGCCTACTGCAACTTCATTCTTACTTTCAAGACACAATATCATTGATGACAATTAAAGCTTACGTGTTACAGAGTAGTTGTGACACCACAGAAACGTGCATATTTTACTGCAGTCGTTACATTATTGGTACGTTCTGCTGTTTGAAGCCCCAAGCATTCTTCCTGTCTTGTGTTATATCCGTAGGTGCAAAAAATTTTACGTGAAAGATTCTGTCATGATTGTGCTACTGGAAAACTGTTTGGGATTGAACATCAGTACAGGTAAGTGAGCAGATTCAAATGCTAAGTAATTTCTACTTTAACCACAGTAGTAAAATAATCAGGTGAAGTCAGGATTTTCCGCTACCTCTGCTTTTCTAAATTATACAGGCTTAAATGACTTGCAGCACAATGCTTCTAAAAATTGTTTGCCTCAGTTTAAGTGTTTTTATACAACCATTCTGTCAGGCTCTGAGTTTTGGACTTCTTGTCCTTGTTTCAAATCTGTAATTCCTGAAATGCTTTTTTTTGAGCCTGAAAGGTACTTTAAGTGCATATTCTAAGGCTATGTTTAATGACCCGACCAAGCAAAATGTTAAATTTTCTTGTTGCAAATTTTTATTTTTACTTCGGATTTTTCTCCTGTTTATTTGTAACTGTGGTAAAAGTAAATCTTAAACCTTGGGCGCCGACATCGTGTTTCTTTAAGTAAAGACCCATATTTAAAGCAACCTACTTCTTGGGGTCATCCAATGCAGAGATTAGAGTTAGGAAGAAGGGACCTATTGTGACAATAATATACTATTCTAATACTAATCCTTTTACAGATGTAGGTCAAATTCTGAAAGTAACAAATGTGTATCTGAAGAATTGTTTTAAACAATCCATTTTTATGCGAGTTGAATTGCCTGATGTGAACGTTAGTTTCCTTTCCCTTACAGAAAGGAAAGTACCATTTCTGTTGTTCAAGGGTAGTGTGATATACATGCAGAGCTCACAGACGTGTTTATTGTTGTGAGAAAATGTATTTCTGTGATGTTAGTATTCTACAAAACAAGCCTCCCCTCTTTATATTGGAATTCTGAAAAACAGTTTACAGACTGTCTTCTACTTAATATGCCACTGGTGATGAATTATGCTGGAGAGAAAACACAATGAACTTCCCAGCTCTTAGTTTTTCTTTCCCAAGATGTATCGGGGCTCTTGGCTGTAGTTAGCTCTCGGATAGTGAATAAAACCACATGCATTTGCTACAGCTGTTCCATGATGACTCTATCACTTCCTTAGAAGCAATTCCATGATGTTAATATTCTAAGGAAAAAAAAAAAAAGGCATATTAAATGTATGCATTTGTAAATATTTGGGAATTGGAAGTGTCAGTAGTTGTTACAAGTACTTTAAATGTGGTACTAGGTAATAACTCTAGCTGAAGGTAATTTATAGTTGCTCTTTTTTCCTTCTTTTGAGTGGGAATAGAATGTGAAATTGAAGTTCAGTATTGCTGTTAGCATTCACAAACTTTGAATGCCTAAATTTAGCATATATTCAGTTTTATGAAGATTGTCAAAATTAATATATTCCACTACATTATTAATTTTTCCTGGTGTCAAGATTTCCTTCAATATGTTTGCCAGTCTTCCTTTTTTGTGAGCTATAGTGGTATCACGGAAAGCAATCTTGTTTCTTTCTCAAAAAAAAAAAAAAAAAAATTATTGAAGTCTGTCCTTTCATGGTAGAGAATTGTAGAACTTTATGGATTGGTAATACTCCTGACTTCTGCATGTTTTACTATTTTAAAATATTTTGAGAGCTGATCACTCAGCCTTTTGTACTTTATTGTATTACATTTTGCATGCCCTGAGTGTTGGCTCTGAGAGCAAGTTGAAATGTATCAAGTTTTCTATTATGTCCTAAAGATTCTCTGAATTTTCCATGATTTCAGTGAATGTTGCCTGGTTTGAAGTTTTTTACCTATTGCTGTTGTCAACACAGGCATCTGCTGGAACTGCTGAAACGAACTACAGTGCATGGAGAAAGTAATTCTGCCCTCATTATTGGACCCCGAGGATCAGGAAAGACTGCGGTATAAACATGTATTAAAAGTTGATACAGGGTTAAATTAAGCATGAGGTAGATAACCTTGCTGAAGTCCTGGGAGCTTTTGGAGCTAAATTTTCATCTCTGCCTCTTTTTAAAGAAGGAATTGCTAATTGTTTACACATAATTTCAAAACATTCTAGGACTTCTTGTGAGCTAATTCTGTTGAATAACAATATGAAGAAACTGATTTCCTAACAATCTTCTGGAATTTTTCAAATGCTGAGTTCCTAGTGATTTTGTAAAATAGAATAGCTTCATGTGCAGCTGACAAAAACACAAAAAACACACACACAAAAAATTGTGACCTCAATTCCTAGGAGGCAGAGTATTGTATGGTAGTTATAATTTACAAGTGTAGGTTTTGTATTTTAAAAGAACTCTTTTTAGTTGAGACATGTGAACAAATGACATCTAACTTAAGTGTTATATACTTTAATATTATGCAAACACTTAAGTCTTTTATGATTACATGAGTATATAATGTGATAAATAGGTTCATTGTTACTGCACGAAGTATTCAAGATTGAAAAATTACTTTGGAAGTCTTCCCAAGTGCTAATGCAAGTGGCCTTCAAGCTTTTAAATACAGTGGAATAGAAATAAATTAATAGATTGTAAACATATCCATGATACAGCTGACACCAATCATTCTGCCAGTTTTTTGATAGCTTGTTCTGCATTTCAAAACCAGTCAGTATTGTTACTTTCTTCTGTTACCCGTGATGCTTCAGATCAAGGATAATTGTCAAAATACTACGGAGTGGTGGTGGGGAAAGAGTTGATAAACCAGTGGCAAATAAGGTTTCTTCCACCTATGTACTTCCCGCTGGGCTTGAACTGGAGTTTATTTTTCCTTTCTTAGACTTACGGATTTGTGAAGTAAGCAACAAGCACTCTCATAGTGCAGAAAATAGTTTTTAGATTTTCTTGTATTTGCAATGTAGACTTTCAAGGTCCATTTGAGACTGTTGGATAAGGGGCTAGCCAGAATGGATGGCATCTGCTTATTGGGCGTAAACTTGAGAAACCAAGGGAATAAGCTTTTTTGTTCCAGGTTTCCATATAGTAAATGTTGGCAGCTGTAGTAAGAGTCTAACTGTATCTGCTTCTAAACACAATATCAATAGAAGAGTCTAGATGAGCTTTATACTACAAACAAATTGGAGTAAATGTGAAAGTTTTTAAAAAATCCGCAACAGAATAATCCCTCAAATACCACGTGCCCCCCAATCACCAAAACTCAAACTATGTTTATTATTTAAAGTTTAAATTTTCTTCCAAACCTTTTACATAAGGATAGTGAAGATGAAAATTCATCATCCTTCCTGCCAGAATATAAGTAAGCAAATTATGTATGCGAAATGAATGATTTTCTTATTCTATATCAAGTGAAAGATGTTTAGTTTTCAAAAAAGACTGCTGGAGACAAGAAAATTGTGTCTATATATGTATGTATACATACACATAGATGGGGTCTGCACAATCTCAGCTGAGGAAACAAAAGCAAAGAAGTAGCAAGTGAAAGAAAAATTAACATTTCAACTACTTGTACATATTTTAATATGAGTTCCTTATGACTTTTACTGAGAACAAGTTCTTGATGGACTGTAGATTTCAGGCCCCTAAGTTTTATAAGCAATTTAATGTGCAACTTCATTTTCTCTCATGCTTCCCAACTTCAAGAAGAAAAGAATAAGCATAGTGTCTTTAAAGATTTAAAGCAAATATTTTTGTTTACAACATCTAACGAAGCCAAATACTCTACTAACATAAGAGACAAATTCTGTCACATCTCAAAACTCGTAAAGGTTTTTTCATTAAGGCAGAAGCCCTAAATATTACTCCAAAAAATGAGTGACTAAAATACTGGAGTTATTTTTATATTTCTTTCCCTACTAATTCAGCAGAATGAACAAATGTAATTGCTATAGTCATGATAGTGAATGTGAAGTTGTCATTTTAGTGTTTTAGTCTTGAAAATACTCAAACATTGTTACCTAATGAAACTGCACATACTGTTTCCTATCTGATAATATCCATTTGTACACTTTTTTACTGTTAATACTTTAATCTTGTAAAGAAATTATGTATCTTTTTCCTAGTTATTAAATCATGTCTTAAAAGAGCTCACAGAAATGAAACAAGTTAGAGAGAACCTCTTGGAAGTTCATCTGAATGGCAAGTAATGCAGCATAATTCAAATGTTATGTTATATTCAGTTGTTATGTATTGTATGTACCGAACAAAAATTTTGGTTTCAGCAGTTGTAATCTAGCCTTGGTTACAGACACATTTGTCTGTGAGCTCCAAAATGCCTTCCCATCTTTGTATCTCTCTATATAAAGAGAACTTTTGTGCTTTTAATGACTTTTCAAAATGTTAAAAATCAGTTCAATTTTGACCAAATTGTTTTGAGTAACCACTTATTACATATGGAAAATGTCCAGTGTTAATTTATAAAAAGGCATAGCTTTATAAGGCTGGAAATGGAGGGAAGCTTCTGGATAAGTTTCTAGTGGCTGTAGATGTGGCCTCTTGGAATGAAGGAGAACTGCGAGTTCTTGATGAAAAAATCATTTTCTTTCAGGGCTTCTGCAAACCAATGATAAAGTGGCCCTGAAGGAGATCACTAGACAGTTGCACCTGGAAAATGTGGTTGGGGATAAAGTTTTTGTAAGTATTGACTTTATTATACTCTTCGCTTATCTCCCTCAGAAATCCTTGCCTAGAAAACTAGCTTTATAGAATACAGCTTGTTGAGACCGAATGGGCTCTGAGAATTTATTAGCAAAATTGCAATGGGCCGACTCGGTCTTCTGAAAGCTTTCTCTTTTAAAATATTTAATAATTGATGGCAGTAGTGAACTGTGGCAGCATTCACCTGTGAAGACCCTGGTTTACAAACACTTAAAGCATGCCAACAAATACTCGCGTTCTACACAAGTGCTGAACGTTACATTTTGCTAGTTGAGCAACATTAATGCGTCCTGATACTTTTTCAAAAAAACATCAACTTTGACTTAGAGAAGGAGGAAGAATGGAAAGGCGCTCTAAACATTTACTTCAAGCTTCAGAATGAAACAAACATTAAGCATTCAGAAGAGACTTTGTTCAGAGGGGTAGAGCATTTTGGAAATACCAGCTTTAACATTTCAAGACAAAGAGTAAGCAAGTTAACCAGTCAAAAAGCAGTATCTTTAGTATATTTGCAGCCTTTTGTAGTTCATAGGGAAATCTATCCAGGCTTCCTAGAGCTCTCATTTTGCATAGGATATCTATTAAAATATTTGCTTCTATTGACCTTTTCCCAAAAAGAAGAAACTCATTTCTATTAGTAGTAAAGTCAGTAAAAAAAGAATAACTGAAGTGCTTCAGATTAAATTTCACTCATCTGCGTGTGAAATAACTTGGGCTGGTGATCTGGGCTACCCTGGTTGTTGCCTGTGTTGTGGTTTAAGCCCAGCCAGCAACTAAGCACCATGCAGCCGCTCACTCACTTCCCCCCACCCAGTGGGATGGGGGAGAGAATTGAGGGAAGAAAAAAGTAAAACTCATGGGTTGAGATAAGAACAGTTTGATAGAACAGAAAGGAAGAAAAGAATAATGAGAAGAATAACAATAATAAAATGACAATAGTAATAAAAGAATCGGAATATACAAAACAAGTGATGCACAATGCAGTTGCTCACCGCTCACCAATCCATGCCTGGATAGTTCCTGAGCAGCGATCCCCCTGGCCAACTCCTCCCCCCACTTTAAATACTGGGCATGACATCACATGGTATGGAATGTCCCTTTGGCCAGTTTGGGTCAGCTGTCCTGGCTGTGTCCCCTCCCAACTTCTTGTGCCCTTCCAGCCTTCTTGCTGGCTGGGTGTGGGAAGCTGAAAAATTCTTGACTTAGTCTAAGCACTGCTCAGCAACAACTGAAAACATCAGTGTGTTACCAACATTCTTCTCATATATAGCACTATACCAGCTACTAGAAAGAAAATTAACTCCATCCCAGCTGAAACCAGGACAGCCTGTTATTCAGTGAGTATTCTTGAGAGGCCATCTTCTGGTACGACAGAAGGTCCTTCTGAGCATCATCTACTACTCCTTTGCTCTCAGATAGGGCCTTTGAGATTGGCAGAGTTCACACCATTGCGAGTCACGCATAATACTGATCCATGTGGCTAAAGCAGAATTATGAGAGGCGAGAAAGGTGAGATCTCAATAGATGAGGTTTATTTTCATCAGTTGCTTTTGGAAAGCTAAAGAGCTAAGATGTTACTGCTTTAGTTAAGAGAAACTGGAGAACTAGGTTAGTGTGGAATACAAGATGAAGTGTAGGTTGTAGTTATTAGGCTTTATTATCTTTTGGAAATGCTTGCTTCTTAGGCTGGGCTTTGGTTTCTTACTTATCGCAAATGAATTTAGATACAGAGAATGGAAAACCTTTCTGGTGGTGAGCTAAAATTTTCCCAAGTAGAGTTGCAGTAATGAAAGGAAATAGCAAGTATTTAATTTCAGCCTAGCTGTTTGAATGAATTGTCTTTTCAACAAAGAACTAGAACAACCTTCCAAGGTCCACAGTTCCACTACCAAAAATGCTGGAGGCAAAACTGGACATAAATATGTTTAATTCCCCTATAATTTTCCCCATTAAGTTATTGTGGAGTACTACTTTAAACTCTTAGCCATCTAACCCCTTTGTTTGCACACAGGCATGGAAACATACTGGTTTGCACGAATGTCCTTACTTTTCTTGATAGAAACTTTTCCTTTCTTAGCTTCTGCAACTCACATTCAAAGAGTAGATTGGCTTTTCTGCCTTCTTTGATAGGCCTTGTGGTCTTCAGTTATTTCCCATCTCACAACTTGTGTGCTTGAGAGTGTGTAAATGTGTGTGTAACTGAAGCAGGATGGTCATAGCAACTCATTGTTTTCTGCCATGAATATTTGATGCTTTCATCTAATGAGGTTGCAAGTTAAAAAACTGCATACCGATCATTCTCAGTGGAACACGTTAGGTGGCAGTTTTTGCATGTGTGTAGATGGAAAATGAGTATGCAGTAGCTATTTAAGGAAAGATAAAGCTACTTGTAAATTTAGCTTATTGTAGACATTCTTCTGATAACTAATTTTTGCCTGTCTGAGGCAGTTAGTTTGGGGTTTTCACACTGGAAAGAAGTGGATCAATGTAGAGTTAACTATCAGTTTTCCTATCCTGAAGAGGTTATGATTGTACAACATGAAGTAATGCTGTAAATTTTTGAATAGGCACTGGTTTTGAAAGCAGGGTTTTAGAAGGAAACGGCCTTCATTACATACCTGAACTTGATGTAGTTACACAATTCTGAGAATTACATTGAAAATCTATTGTGAAACTTTTTTCTTTTCTGTGTAGGGCAGTTTTGCTGAAAATCTTGCGTTCCTTCTTGAAGCTTTAAAGAAAGGTAAACACTAGTAGCCCCTGTTCTGATACAGTGTGTGTGTCACTTGACTGAAAAGTTAGCATATACATGTTTTTTTATCTACTTGTACAAGTGGTATGAAGAAATCTAGCCCAAGAATATGTCATGCTTACAAAATAATGTGAAAAATACATAATACTAAACAAACTAACATATCTGATGCCATAAAGGCTTGCATGTGATGGTCAGCTATGAAGGAAAGATTGTTTTATCCAGATTGAAGCTATTAAAAATGTTTTTTTAAATATTTGCCATAGAAGTCTGTCTTTCCTTGCAACCAGAAATGATGCTTGACAGAATACTACAAAACCTTACCAATTTTTCAGTGTGTTTTTCTTTTTACTGTTGTAGCAGTACATATGTGAAAGGAGGGCTTAGTGAAAAGCTAAAAGAAAATATGTAAATTGTTAAAACTGGAATTTGTGAAGGCTGTAGAGATGGAAGTCTGATGATGATCTTACCATAATAACTTTCAAAATTGCTTTCTCAGGAGATCGAACTAGCAGTTGTCCAGTCTTGTTTATACTGGATGAATTTGACTTGTTTGTTCATCACAAGAATCAGACACTGCTCTATAACCTCTTTGATATATCCCAGTCAGCACAGACTCCAGTAACAGTTATTGGACTCACTTGTAGACAGGTAAGAAGTTGTGCTTTCTCATTCAAAGTTTTTAGCTGTTTTAAAGAGACTTTTGTCTTAGGTGGAAGGTTTTCTCCTCTCCTGGAACCTTACTTAATTTACTAAGAGTCTTTTCTCAATTATCCATTTTTCTGATGTTTGAATTGGGAAGGGGGATAAAAAATAATAATAATTTGTGCTGAGAGCAAACTTAGATGAACAAAACACTGCAAAGCCTTCAGTATTACTGCTAGAGGAGCAGGTTTACATTCCTAAGGAGACACAAGGCTGTTATCCTCTATTACTGCAGAAGGGCCATATTTATCCATGTGGCTGTTTTCTATTATACTGTCGTTCACTCTTTGGAACGTTCACTCTTTGGCGTTTCAGTTTCTCGGTCAGCAGTTGGTAACAACAGACTTGTATTAACCTACAGCGTTTAAATCATTGTTTGGAGGACAAGGAATTTTTTTTAAGCAAACGCATCAGTAGGTCACTTTTGTTGTAATAGCATATTCAAAATGGGTTTAAGATCCATGTTAAACTTGCTGTGATTTTTACAGTGACATTGTAAGGAACTGTGGACAGATTAGGTGTATACTGTGAAATAATTACTTTGTAACACTATGGAAGCTGATACTTTATAAAAATTATACTGTTTATTCAAAAAAACTGGATTGGTGGTGAAGATAGCCAGGTTATGACAAGAAGAAGAATAATTAAAATCTTTCATTTATGCCTGAATCTGGGGTTGATTAGGTTTAGGCGATATTTAGCTGGGCAAATTTCTGGAAGTTAGTAAAATAGTTGATAGATGATTTAATAAAATACAATTTTTTTTCTTTGGCTTCATTACTGCCCTGAGTCTAGTATCCTAACCACCCATTATTTAGAACCCTGTATTGCTCTGCTTTTGAATGTAATTAAGGGAGAGTCTTCAGAGCCTGTACCATGGTTTTGGTGATAGCTGTTGTTTCTGAGGGGTTTTTTGGGAGTTTTGGGGGTTTTTTTTTGTTTGTTTTCTTTTAAATCACTGGTCCCTGTTGCATGTGACTTCTAAATCAAATGGGGTCTTTATATTATGCACTGTTGGCTCTCTATTTACTCTTACTGCTCTCTTTTTGGTGCAGAATTTCAGTATTCTTAAAGCCTTTTCTTAGTGCAAGTAAAAACACCAAAACCAACACACAACAAATGTTTAAAAACCGAAAAGGCCTACCCTGAATTCCTAGAAACTGGGAGTGTAATCATTGTGTCCCAGTATACGGTAGGGGAATAGTACTGTGTTTCTCTAAATGGATGAGTACCACAGCTTGTTTCTGATGCCAGTCTATTGCTATGTGTTCTGAGAAAAGGAAGCTTTTCTCTATTACGTTCAACCAACAACCTGATGGCAGACTTGCTTAGTTCTGTGTGACAATCTTAAAAGATAAATATTGGCTCTTAAGTTTTGGGTTTTTTTTTTTTTAAGCGGGATTCTTCCAGTCTGACAAAAGGCATGTGAACTGACAGCTGCCAACCTACGTATCTACTATATAGAGAACTTGTCTAGAGCCATGATAGGCTGAAACATCTTGAATGCAGACTTAAGTAACTGAAACATTTACATAATCTATGGAGAAATTTTGCCGGGTATCCTAGCAACTAATTATCCTGTATGATGTAGTGCATCACATGACTTGGGTAAATGGCTAGTTGTTAGGCATTTCAAGGCATATCAATTATAATAATTAGCAAAGGTCTTGTTAGAACATTTTAAGCCTAAGAATTGAATAATTCTTTTTTTTTTTTAACATGATTTACTTTGGTGTTTTCTCTTGGTAGTTTTTACTGTAGCAAAGAATGCACTAAATGCATCTGCTTTTTTTAATTATTATTTTTACTTTTTTTTAACAAGGATATCCTGGAGCTCTTGGAGAAGAGAGTAAAATCAAGGTTCTCTCACCGACAGATATATTTGACGAATTCCTTTGATTTTAAACAATACATTAGGATATTCAAGGAACAGCTTTCTCTTCCTGCTGGATTTCCTGATGAGTCTTTTGCACAAAAATGGAATAAAAATGTTCAGGTATTCAAAGTTCTTTATAGTTGGTGTTTTAGTAAAACTTCTAAAGGAAGACCAGTTTATAAGTGTAAAGCCTTTACCTAAGATTAGTATTTCCTTTCGCTATCTGAGTTTGATATGGAATAAATTGAATTGTGATAGAGAATCTTTGCTTATTGAAGTCTGGAGATAAAATTAGAAGTGTCACAAAAAAAGACCAGAAAGTTAAGGTTAGACTTGAAGAAATTGTATTGTCAAGCATAAGCTGAGCTCTTTCTGAAAGTTACCTGACTGGTATTTTGTCAGGTGAGTATGAAATGATTTGGTGAGATGATGAAAATATCACTTAAATTCTTTTTTAGCATCTCTCAGAGGATAAAACTGTGCAAGACATGCTGCAGAACCTTTTTCACCACACTAAAGATCTGCGCTCACTTCATTTGCTGTTGGTATGTATTTGGATATGCATATAATATCTTCTTGATTTACAATAATCAGTAAACAACGCTTGTATTTTTCAAGCCAGTTATCTGAGCTTTACTTGAAACATCTTTTTTATTCAGCAGGTTTTTGACAGTCCTGGCTTCTTGCATGCTTTATCAGTCCATGCTTTACTAATGAATTTGAGTAGTTCCAATTTCTGTAGCAGTTATGTTGTGAGGGTGTACTGTTTAATTGAAGTGATGGTGGGGTTTTGGTATTTAAAATAACTTTTGCCAAGTCTTTCCATTTATAAAGCAAAACTGTTGGTGAAATACTTTCAAAGTATTTTTACCTTTCTGAGATTCTTTTTGGTTGCTGGTGAGTCCTGAAAACTGCTTGTACCAAAATACTTTTTCTACCTTTAAGTCTGCTGCTGTAGCCAAATATTCCTCCATTCCTTCTCTTTCACTAAATCTGTCACTATTTAATAAACCTGCTTCTCTTCATCAATATCCATCTTCTTCAAATATCAATAAATTTTGGTGCCTTTTTTTTTTAAACTATGGTCTCTTACCGTATTCTTGCATCACTTTAGCACTCTCCACTTTGTCTTCCTCCTGACGCTGTTAGAGTTTGTCTGTGTTCCTGGCCTGTTTCCTGAGCTACTCTTGAATTACTGTCAGTGTAGGTATATGCACTTTTGACATAAAAGCAGACGGTGCTGCATTTGGAGTAACTGTCACTTTGAGCTAAACTATACTATTTGTTGTTGTCATCCCTCTTCCCACTCCTCCTTCCTCCTAAACCGTTCTTGCAAGGATGCTCCTGAGCACAGATTACTTGCATTTATGGACTAGTTGCTCCTGGATACCTCTTCAGTAAGAGTGTTCCCATGTGTCTACAATCTTGTTATTCACACAGAGGAAATGCTTTTGAAATGCTTTTTCTATCACTTCCAGTTTCTTCTTATGCAGAGTATCAGATAAAATCACTTTATGAACTGTATGATTAGGGACCACTTTGTTTTCCAGAGCTGGTTGCGTATGTGGAGCAATTCATGTAGCCCAGATGCTGTCTGGAATTCCTCTCTTAGTGTGATGCTAGTCTAGGAAATGTGATCTTAATCTTTTAAATGTTGAGGTGCTGGGAGCCTGAGGCTACTAACCCTTAGCAATACTGAGACGGAAGTTAATTCTGATCTTCCGAATGACCATGTTATCTGGCATCAAGGGCCTGAGGAAGCTTTCAGAATTTTACTTGGTAGCTTCAACCTTTCCCAGTTATCTTGGAGAGAAGAAAGGCCTCACTGTGTGGAGAAAAATTAGACTGCTGCCTTCCTGTTAACTCTGAGAGAAGACTTCTGTATTCAGTAAGTAGGAGGTAATGCTGACAGTGAACTTCCCTCTATCACGACAAATGAGCTGAAGCTTAACACGTGGTCAGGTTCTCTTGGAGGGTCTCTTATTTTTTTTTTTTAATCTGCCTCCCTCACTTCTGTTTTTTAATGTAGTTAATATGGATGCAATAACATTCATTACAGACGATAAGTAACACTTATTTAACCATCTTAAAATATCTGTGTGCTGCTGTCAGTGTGAAAAGCCCACTAAACATACCTGCTTATCTTGTGTTGTGCAAGTATTCAGATTTTAACCTTCAGCTCTGTGGTGGGCTGTTCTTGGACTCTTTAGTGCTGACAGCTTTTCCCAACACTGGGTTTATAACCACTGTGAGAACTAGATCATGGACTTCCTGCTCTAGTTCTGAAACATGGAGCCTGATCAGAGTCTTTTTTTTTTTTTTTGTAGTCCTCTGTTTACTTGAGTTAGTTACAAGATTGCAGATCATTTCTAGTTTAGGGGCACCCAGTTCTGTCCTGTGGCTTGAATGAATGCCACAAAAAGAGCTGATGGCTATCTGAATAGCCTCCCTTTGTGCTCCAGGGTGTGTCAGAGCTGAGGCTGAAGTTCCTGATTGTTTTTTTCAGCATTTTCTGAATTCTTCTGTTAAAGGGGGCTTTTTCACTCTGAAGTCATCTTGCTTATAAGAGTATATAATACATATTCTAGTACTTCTGTAATTCTTCTGTATTAGCTGAAGTGTGGATTAATTGCCCTGCAGGATGAATTTTTCTTTACTTCTGAAAATCTCTAGGAGTCTGCCATTTGAGCTGGTGAGAGAAGCTTTGTGATGGGCAGTGTGGTGGTGGTGAGGGTTGCAGCTACTCTTGCTAATGACCTGCTTTTCTGTAGCAAGGACTTGTTCTCAATGACCAGCTGTTTTCCAATAACATGTAGTGCTCCCCATCACTCTGCATTGTCAGATACTTAAAGCTTTAAAGAGCAAGTGAAGGGCACTGCAGTGTGCCCACTGCTGTATAACAGCTTGTGGATAATACTAGCTTGGGAAGAGTGGTGTCAGAAGAGGTCAGTTAACTATGTATTTGTTAACTTACATTTGTTCAAAAGTCACTTTCTGTGACAGGTAGTTGAAGATTGTTAAGATTCAAATTGCAACTAGGTGAGACTTCAGCAAATGCTCTGAAGGGGTTACTTGTATTCTGTAAACCAAGGTGCCTTCAGACGCCTTCTTAGTACTTTCAGTGACAGGAGTACGCTGTAGCTCTGTGTACAAAGGTACGTTTAAAATAGTTGTAAGTCATTCTTACAGCAATCACTGAAGTATGCTAATCCATTAAAATTAATATAAACAAGTTAATGAGTGTTTATCTCCTCTAGTGAGGAGGCTTTCAAGTTTTAAGCCTGGAAAACCTTCCTGGCAAAATGTCGTTGTAGCTACCAGCTATTTACAAGGTTTTCAGTGTGAGCCTCCTGTGTGTGTAGGGCTTTATTCATTAATGTTTCCAGTAGGTGACTCCAGGGGAAATGTGTTCTTCTGCATTCCATCTCCAAGTAGAAAGTATGTCTGGTAATTAGTAATTAAATGAAAAATGTCTTCTGCTTTATTTTTAGATGCTTGCCGTAAGTAACGTTAATGTGCATCACCCGCTTATCACTGCATCAGATCTTCATGAGGCAAGCAAGCAGTCTAGAATGGACTCAAAAGCAAATATTGTACATGGTAAAGCTCAGCTGTTTCCCCAAAATGTTCCTTAGGAGTATGGAATGTGTCAAGTCCCTCCCTGAAATTCTCCTGATGTGTGAGAGATTGTACAGGGCAGTGTCCCCTGTCGGTATGGGCTGCATGGGGAATACCTCCACCCGTGGAGTCTGCTCTCCGCTGGTTTGCGTGGATGTAACAATGCCGCATAAACCAGAAATGGAGTTACATGATAGTGGATATAAATCCTACTATGTGGGGAGCTCGGGCAGTGCACTGCTACGATGCAGGCTGACAGCTGTCAGTACCAGACAGCCTGTGTGGTGCTGCAGTGCTAGCCAGGGAAAGCACCCGTAGCCTGGGCAAAGGAACCAGCCTGGGCAGGGTTTCTGTTCTGTTTAAGTGACGGAGGAAGATGCTGATGTCTTCCTGCCAGAGCTGGGAGGTGGAGGATACTGAGGACACTTTGGCTGGGAGCTGTTGCAACAAATGCTCCGAGAATTGCAATAGTCTGTGCTTGGATACGTACAAGATGGGAGTATGTAGTTGAATTCTGTGCTCTCGGGACTACAGCGGCGTGCGCTTACCTGCCTTTAACTGAGCTTCTGCTAATGCTGTACTGACACCTCTAGTGTGTTTCTATGTGCTGCTGCTGCATTTGAGAGGTCTGAGGGTTCTCCCTTTCCAAACCTCGGTAGATGGGGCGTACTGAGCGCTACGCTTAAGTTTTCTTTGATAAGCATTTTGGAACCTGTGCAAACAGTGAGAAGAAATAAATGTCTCCTGGTGATGATACTAAGCCTAAATATAGTTACAGGAGGAATTGCTTCCCTGATCAGGAAAAGTTAACTTAGCCCATTGCTTCTCTATGGCTCCCAAATTTTACAGGCTTTAGTTTGGCTCAGCCCTGTGATTCTCAAAGTCTCCTTAGTACTGTGGAGCTAATTTGTCACTTCTTTAGCTTTGAAGAGTGAATAACGTCTTCAAACTCTCATTTCATGACTTGCTATATAGTAGCAGGGAGATCGTCTTGGTGCTGCTAAAATTGTGTCATGCTGTCCAATCTGCAATTAAGCTTTTTCTTTAAATTTCTTGCTTTTTGATGGAAGCAGCCCATTTCTTAACATTCTTGCTTCAAATATCTGGAAAATCAATGTTCTCTTATCTAGCCTCTCCAATTCTGGATTTTTTTTTTTTTTACATTATGAAGATATATAACACAAATAGGTGAGGCCTACAGCGTATAAAAATAGCGGAATAAAAATAGTATGTGAACTGCTTGCATTCCCGATATGCTTAAGAGAAATATTTAGAGTTCTTGTCTTTCCCTCTAGGTTTGTCTGTCCTGGAAATCTGCTTAATTATAGCTATGAAACACTTAAATGATGTTTATGAAGGAGAACCATTTAACTTCCAGATGGTTTACAACGGTGAGAGAAATACATGAACTTTACAAACACTAAATGATTTACTTTCCCCTAACTAACTTTTTTTTTCCTATTACTGATACAGAATTCCAGAAGTTCATACAAAGGAAGGCGCATTGTATGTACAACTTTGAAAAGCCGGTTGTCATGAAGGTAAGCCTGAAATGTAGGGTTTTGTTGTTGTTTTTTTTTTTTTAAATTTATTTTATTGTAGATTATTTAGATGTTGGGTTTTTTTTTTCTAGTGCACAGACTGGAGCAGTCACACGCAGCCTTAAACTGGGACAGGGTGCTTCAGGGTGGTGAGAACCCCCCACTCTCGGAGCAGGCAGCTGGGGCAGTGGGTTTGGGCAGCGCCTGGCCACTGCTCGCCTTCCCTGGGACGGGGAGCTCAAGGCCGTCCCAAGCTGCTCAATAGTTACGCTTGGAAGAGTTTAGCACCAGAGCGAGGACTCTATTTCAAGTGAGCTGAACTGATGTAGCACTGGGGTTCAGCAAGAATGACTGTATCAGAAATGGCTTCCAAAGGAGAGGTTTGAGTATATGCGTAGCTATCATCAGGTTGCTCATCCCCTTCTGCTGTTTAGAAGTGATGTCTCCAAAATTTAAATTAATTGTACCACATCAAAAACCTGTTTTCCTTACTCCAAGCCCCACTAGGTCTGGCTGGTACATTGAATCAATTTGTAGCCTAATAGGGCTGGTTTTGCCTCAACCAACTACTGCCTGAAATGCAAACTGAGAAGGGCGTTTTGGTTACAAACCTGATCCCCGGGGGCCTTCTGGGCTGTCACTCCATGAAGGTCACTTTGCCAGGCTCTGCTCAGGGACCTGGTCGCAGGGCGTGATCCTGCTGCACTGCAGCCGCCAGAGCGCTGGTCACGCAGGGGCTGTGTTTTCTGTCCCTAAACTTCACCCAAGGACCCGCAGCTGTTCAGTGGTCAAAGCTGTCTTCCTGTCTTGCAGCTTTTAGGTGGAGCAGCCTTGGTTTCTGATTCAATGTTATTCATGAATGACACTTAAACTGGAAATCATGTAATGCTTGTCTGTGCACTTGTAACTGACTATTCCAGTTGTTTCCCAGAATAACAAAAGTAATTTCTAGTCAGTGATGCATACACCAGATTTCAAATACTATTTCTTTAAGAAGAAAAGTGAATTCTGTTTCAGCTGGTACAGCTGATGTGGCTTTGCTATCTGTGCAAGAGGGCATAAGGTAAAACAGAGCTGGCACTTAATGTCTGTCTGTCTGGGATTGCACATCACAGGTTTCTGTCAAACCAGTGCCTTAAGAACGAGCAGTACAGCCCCAAATGATGTTATCTTCCATTTCCTCATTTTTCCTTCTTTTTTAGGCATTTGAACACCTGCTACAACTGGAATTAGTAAGACCAATAGAAAGACCATCTGTACGTGCTCAGAGAGAGTACCTCTTAATGAAACTGCTTTTGGACAACAATCAAATCATGGATGCTTTGCAAGCGTATCCAAACTGCCCGACGGATGTTAAACAGTGGGCAGCCTCGTCACTCAGTTGGCTGTGAGCTCTTTGGAACTTGCGGTATCACATTCTAGATCCAAGCTTTTGGAGTTAGCTGTAACTCCAGAAGATGTAATGTTTACCTTACCCACAGCAGGGTGTTCAGATTAATAAATTTTTGGAATAAGCTTGCTTTGCTGATGGATTTGGGATTTTGTTTTTTAAGGAGAATGTATGTATACTGATTTTACCTTCTAATGGCTAAATCTGACTTAAATGCTGAGGCAGTTCAGCTCAGCCCAGTGCTAACTCATTTCCGCACACAATTTCTGCTTTGCAGAAATCAAAGCTCTTTCTTTGGTGTGTCTCAATCTCCGATTATGAGCGCCTTAGATACTGGCTGCCACTAATGGCGGTGGGTCTCATGCTGTGAATTCTGAAGCACAGATCCACCTCTAATGCAGTTTAAAGCTCACTCTGAGTGTACTTTTTTTTTTCTCATATTTGACTTGATGTAGAAAACTGGCTTTGGAGTGTTTCTAGTGACAGATGCGTATGAATGGCATATACTACTATATATGTACTTCCAAGGTGCAGTATGAGAAGGATGCTCCTTCCCAGGTGAGAATTATCCCTGGTTGGGTTATTGCCCCAGGAAGGAAGTACTGTGTACAGCTGAGTCGCTGGAATCGCCCCACCCTGCTTAGGATGGTGGCTGTAAGTAGCAAGGGACAGGCCCAGCTCTAACCCTCCTGTTAAGTTTCAGAAAGGATGACGTGGAAGGGCTGACAGCTTGCTCTGTCCCAAGTAAAGAGTAAGTGAGCTTGCTCTTACCTTACAGCCTGTATGATGATTACGCTTTTTTAGCAGCCCAGCAGAAGACATTTCAGTGATGTTTGTTCATGCTTGGGACCGCTTCCTTCTGGGTTCATGCAAAACCCTTCTTTTCAGTCAAAGGGCTATTGATTTTGCTCTTCACTGCTTCATAAAGATATTTTCTAGGCACCTGCACACCTTGAAGAGCAGAGCAGTGCTATGAAAAGCAGCAAAATCAGTAACAGGACTGTGCTAACTTTATGATCGAGGTCCTGTCAGCAATGGCTTAGATAACCTGCATGATGCTATTAGAATGGAACACTTGCAAACTGTAAATGAAAAAGTTGTTGCAATATTTTGGCATCAGGCTCTGCACACCGCTGGGGCCCATTACACCAGTTTTAGCACCATGGCACAGACTGCAGTGGGAATAGGGGTTGCAGCACGCAGAACAACTGTGAGGTCACTGGAGCTGTTCGCTGAACTGGTGTCCTCCCAGGAGCACTCTGTGTCAGGGAGTCCACCTGGGTGCTCACCTCCGAAACCCTCCTCAGGGCCCTGCTGGTTAAAAAGGAGGGGAGGGTGACAGGGAAAGGAGAGTTCTCCATCAGAAATGCTGGAGGTGACGCAGATTCTGCCTTTGCTTCCCCACCGCATTTAGACTGCACTGTCTCTGTTCTTTTGGGGTTTTTTCGGCCACAAAACTTACCCTGCAGCTTGAGACTCGCTGCATCTGCAGGAACAGCCACACATCTCCTCACCCACAGCATTACAGTGCAAAAAAAGGCATATATGCAAGTTGTAGTAGTCACATTTTTTATTTTAACTTTTGGGGGGAATGGGGGAGAAAGAGTATACATTTTTATTTGTACAATATTTAACAATCACTTTGAGGGCGAGGGGGGGTTGGTTTGTTTCTAGTACTTGCAGAAAAACAGCAAGTACCCTCTGACAGTAGTACAACAACCTGTGCCCAAAACACTGACAAATACAAAGAGTAAAGTTAAAATAATTGCTTACCAAAATCTTGAGAGGTAACGAATAGTATATGGACTGAAACAGCATTAAAAAAATAAAATAAAATTAAAAAAAAAAGTACTGCTGGTTGAGTATCTGAGGTAAATGATGTTCCATCAAGGATGCTACTTGAATCATTTTGCCCATGAACGTACATTGCAGCTTTCTGCATTTTGTACCAAGTGTTCCTAATAAAAGTAAACGTATTAAAAAAGGTTAAAAAAAAAAAGGCTGGAAAAAGAACAAACCAGTAACCCTATTTATTCTGTCGAATGCTAATAGGAACAGGAAAAGTCTTATTACTGCCTGGTTACAATTCAGTTAGCACACCGAAAGTTGGTATTTGAAAACTACACTGACTTTTTAAAATCTCACCCAGAAGGTACCAAGTGGTGGGTTTCACTCCTCTGGGGTAGTTTCTAACTCCCCCCTCCCCCCCGCCACTGACAGCCCTAGTTCAACAACTCCGAGGCACCATCTCCACTCAGGAACACTACAGTGCATGCGGTTGCAAGCACGAAGTTGCACAGGACGCGATACAGAAACTTCTCACCCTCTAACACGATGTAAAAACATAAGGCAGGGGGTAAACCTCTGGCCAGGCCGAGAGCAAGCCTGTTTTCCAGTCCCCCGGCCGATCTGCTGTCATCTTTTCAGACGACTTCACCGAAAGTGAAGAGGGAGGGAGAGGCTGTTCCCGAGCCCCTGGAGCCCATGCCTGCGCACCGCATTGCTACAGGACGTAGAGGGACAACGCTCCCTGCCTGCTGGTAAATAATGCCAAAACATTTCCCCTAGCACTGATCTTACCGAATTCTTACACTTGCAAAGTGCTGCCGGCTCAGGCATCTGCTCAACTTGCGCGTTTAATGCTCTAGAAGCAAAACAAAAATACACATCAAAATGCCCTGCGAGAACAGTTGTATCAGAACAGCTCAGGGGATGTTACTTTTACCAATTAAAAAGCATTTTATACTATGAACATCCTTTTCACAGTGACACTAAATTACGCTGTTAAAAATCAGGAAACTCAGAGTAGTCCAATATTTAAACAATCAAGGACATCCAAAGGCAGTTTTAAAACATGAAGATAAGTTATCTCAGATTTCCTGATGCGAGGCTTAGCCAGTGCCCCTGCGCCATCCGCAACATGACACCTGTGAGCGACCCGCAAGAACCCGCAGCAGATGAAGTTTAAAGGACAAGACGCAGGTGATGCGCGCCTTACGACCAATTCTGCATCAGAGCTTGAGTAACAGATTATGAAAACATCTGTGTTTACTCCATTTTTGCTAGGAAAGGGGTTAAAACTCATTGGGAGCCCAGAGGTCTTCAGTAAAGTACAAATCGATTCTTACTTGTTCAGAACTCAGCGGCTATGTTCATGTCCTGCTGTGTGCCTAAAGCCCCGTCCCTGGATCAAAAACGGAAGGAAAAATGCAAGCGTCAACCAAAGAAGTGGCCACAACCCAGATTTCTTTCTTTTTACAGCCAACCTGAATGCCACCGCGCTGCACCCCATGACGACGCATTAGAGCGGGGTTCTTCTGGCTACCTGGACCCTTAGGCACGCAGCAGGTGACGAACGAACAGCCAGCCCTGGGTGGTCGCTGCGCCGCTGCGCCTTCCTTCCCCTCCCTGCCAAGAGCACGCTGACCTAGGTCTTGTTTAGCCGAAATGCCTCCTATTGTTCCCAGAGGTGAAGTTCCTGTACGGGTAAAACCCGGAGTAGCTCATGGCTGTACAGATCGATTTTTAAGATAACGTTCAGAGTCAGCTCCTAACTGCAACACTAAAAGCTTCTTTCGAAAGACGCTGAATGCACGGTGTAAAAACAAAACGACAGAATACGCAGCGTACTACTAGCTAGTGTCGGTTCTGTACTCTAGAGGTTTATAAAATTTATTTTACTTGGAAGTTTGTGTAAAGGATCAAATAAATGCAGTGAAACAGTACTTCTGTGAAGCACTTTGGCACCTATTGACCAGTCACTTGGAATATAAGGCATGACTTCCTAAACTCAAAAAGAATGTTGGAGTTGTGAAAGCAAGTTCAATGGTTTTCCTCATTTTTTTGTCAGTCTGTACTATGGACATTGGTATTCGTTACCTCTAAATAGTCATTGCGTATTTTAAGTCGTAAGCGTAACTGAATTATCCCTGAAATTTGTAAGCATTTATAATCTGAAATCTGTGGCTAGAATTTTTCGTATGATTCTAGGATAAACCTATGTATCACGGACATTACGTAGTACTCCGATAAGATGGCACCAAGCTTTACGTAGAGTGAAGTTGCAAATCTCAAAGCAGAGAGTAAGGAATTCGGGGTAACTGAGCTTCCTGAGGTGATCCTGAAACAGTGATACAGAACCCACTGCATACTGTTTAGTGAAACAGAACACACGCTAGGCAGACCTTTTCACAAACATAAATAGGAAAAAGACTTTTTAAAAAAAAGAACAAGAATTCAGAGCTTTCCAGTGTCATAGCTCACAGAAAATTACAAAAAGTCATGCTTAAGTTTTCAAATATTCCTCAGACACAGCAAACCTAAATAGTATTCCGTTAAATAAATGTATGAGAGATTCTGGGAAATGGAGGAAAGAGAAAAGCTTTAAACTAAAAGAGGAAGGGAAATTTTGTTTCAATAAACAGCACTTTTTTTTCTTTATACACAACAAGCTAGTACAAGAAAAGGCTAAAAACACTGCTTTAGGAATGGCCATTTACTGTTGGCATGAAGCATAGCTTACCCTTTTTTAAATAACACAGTGAATTTGAAATACATCATTTACAAAACATGGATCAATTTATTATTCAAATTTTGTTAGTGTTGTCAATCTCATAATTTAGCAGAGGTGGAACTGAGGTATACCTTGTTGAGGGAGGTTAAGTAATACTTGGAAGCCTCTTTGCTATATCCCACTCGATTACTTTTGTTTATGTACACTGAACAGCAGCACACTAAACATTCACAAGCTGTGTCATATTGGCATTACAATAGTCATTTTTATAAACAACAGCAAATGCAATAAAAACAAGTTACCCTTTTTTTAAATCTGAAATGAAATGTTTGATTTAAAAAAAATAACAGTAGTTCATTTAAGGAATTAGTCTCTTCTGACAGGTATTAAGAAATCTGATGTCAGTTTTTAAAACGCTTGATTAGCCAGTACAGGTCCATATTCTTCATTTAAGTTCCTTAACAGCACGTTACCCTTTCTCAGTCCCACGTCCTTCAGGTGTAAGGAGGGAATGCAAAAAGTCTCGTGGATCCGCGTTCCAGAGGAGGAAGGGGGAAATAAAGGAAAAACACCTCTTGATGATGTTCCAGAGAGACTTACCATTCTTTTCACACAGAAAACAGTAATGACGTAAGCAGTCCCCTTAGCTTTAGCAGCTCCAGTGAAGAGTCCTGGTGGTCAGTCACGTGACCAGTGCAACTATCATAGACTGGATTCTTTGGGAGGAAAGTCAACATTTGTCACCATCGTGACCACCGTCACGATGTCCTCTGTTGTTATAATGTTAGTTAGTTTTTGCATCTGAATAATCCGCTCTTCTACGCAACCCGCTGACAACCTGGCTTCTGCGTCGTGATCCCAGCACTCCTCTATCGTTTCACAAAGCATCGCCATTCCCTGCGAGCAAACAAAGCGAAGGAAGAAACAGCAGCATACACAGTCAGCAGCAAGTTTTGCCAAGGCGGGGTCACCTACCAAGTCTAATAGAAAATTGCATTTTAAGGTACACCTGCCAGATTTTAACCCTTCTGGCAAACAGGAAGCTATGCCGTATTTGTTTTGAAGCCTAGCGTGTCATACGGGGCCTTACATCCTATTTGATTAACAACAGCGAGCAAACCCTTTTCACTGTACTATGTTGTAGTCTGCTGGTAAAGTCGAGTCATCGTGGTATTTTAAAAGATCTCATGCTAGAAGAGGTTAAGTTCTTCAGCGATCAAATTAAACTTCAGTGAAACATCAAACAGCACAAAAAGGGATTTCTATCTGACAGCAGTTAACTTCTCTCCAAAGTAACACTGGGCTAATACAACAATACGCTAACTACAAGGAGCAGATGGTGACACACACTCGGTTTTCTTGCAGACAGACAGTGTCATCTATTGTTTCTAACAACCCATTTTTTAAAAAAAACAACAAACAAAAAAAACCCCAAACAAAACCCATGCTAGCAGTAAGCAGTGGCGTGACTGCAAGTCTGTAGCCATAAACCAGATCAGGAAAGCGTGCTGCTATTCCTCCTGAACTGATCCCAGAAATTTCTCATACGACACGCTTACCCCTATGTTGCTGTGTTCAGTTTGTAGCATTCCTGGAGTAAATGAAGACTATTGTTTCTTAAATATATTTTTAACATGCATTCAAAAGTAACTCTCAAGAATCTCTTCTTCCACCAAAAAAGTGAAAAAAAAAATTGCTCACTTTCAAATCACTCGAGACAGAGTATTTTAAGATTAAGAACACAGTAGTTCACAGTCCATTTAATTCTTACTAGAATTATTAAATTCTCCCTAAAAGACAGTATTATGAACACAACACAGGATTAACAAAATTTGAAATTCAAATCGTGACAGAACTTTGAAGAACTAGGTTGCATAACTACTTACAGAATGTTTTTGCCAACACTCTCTTAAAACGGGCCTCTTCTTTTTATGAACTACGACTTCCTGCATGTCTTCAAGGGAGGGATGCTGGCCAATTTCTTCTTCAAATGGCAACATGTACTCATCTACTGGGCCTAGAGATTAAAAAAAAAAAAAAGGTTAAACCACTGATTTTGCTTTAAAAAAGGGGGGGGTGGGGAATAAGGCTGGTATCTTAGGAATGTAGTCTGCAATCAGAATCTTAGGGAGCAGTTTACTTTCTGTTGCCATTAAAAGCCCATCCTGTGACAGGCTAGCAGCAAGCAGTGACTCAGATTTTAACGAGGCAGCAGTGGCATTTTGCGGAGCCGCAAGCCTTTGCTCTCCCGCGCCTGGCAGCCAGGCGCAGCTCCCGGCCCAGCTCCCTTTGCCTCTGAAAGCTTCGAGACACAAGGGCGGAGGGAGGCTCTCGGATCCACAGCTTCTCCCCCGCCGCCTCCAACAAATCGTGGCTTTGGTGAGAGAAATCCTCCTCCTCCTCCCAAGTTTGCCGGCTCTCTCGGTATCTGATTACCAAGCAGGCGCCTGATAGCCAGCCGTGAATGTTTTTAATACCGCATACGCTACAAGAGACGAGCCTGCCATGTGTTTCTTCCTCCGGTCCACCCAGCCCAGGACAAAAGCACTTATGTTAAAGGCTAAGCATGATATACGTCCTTAACAGAATCAGAAGGACAAGCTTTATATGCTGAACTATCAATTATATAATGATATGTTATTGTAACAGATGTTTTGTGCTCTCAGATCAAAAGTCTGAAAAAAGGAGGAAGGGGATGACAGAAGAACAGAACAGCGTGGTGCGGACGAGGCTGATGAGACTTAGCGAAACATACCAGTTACCTTCTGGAAGAAAAACAACCAAAAAAACCCAAACCAACCCCAAAACCCCACCAAACATTTGCAGAGAGAAAAACAGCAGCCCTGACTGCAGAGCTTCACAAAGCTGTGATTCAGAAAGGCTCCTTCCCTTCACTGATGTCTCCTTTACTTTCTGGAATAATAACCACACATGCCAGAGAGACCTACGACACACTTCTAGTAAGATTTAGGTACGTATGTTTTACAGTACACCGAGGCATGAAAAATCAATACAGCATGTGGGGCTGCCTCAGAGACTTGTGCAAGATTCTGTCGATCCTGTTAGTAAACAGCTTAACATTTTTAAAAGGGTAAAGTCTCCCTAGCGGCTTCTACTCGGCGAGTAACCTCTGAAGCAGAAAAGCACTGCTCGGAGCAGAAGAGCGCCGTGTGGCCACGCGCTGATCTACTGAGATCTCCAATACACCCGGGCTTTTTATACGGGTACCTGTCAGCTGCACTGGGCTCTCGTAGGAGAGCTTTATGACAAACAGCATCACCAGCCCAAGTGAGACCATCGTATTTACTTGGTTGAATTTAACTGCTTTAAGGACTGCCCTAAAAATGCAACTTTTCCACCAAACATGTTTGACCCTTGTCTTTTGACTTGGTTTTGATTAATGCGGGCTTATTCTAGGCACCCAAAAAAAAAAATCTCTATTTACCAAATTTAAAGAATACTGTTCATACTTGAAACAGGGTATCGTACATCTTTTCTTAAAAATTGGATCCAACAGTCTGCTTCATGAGAAAAGCCACTGTGAGGGACCCATAGCTAACAAAGTATCAGCTGCAGATTTCTCAGACGTTACTGTATTTTCAATCTCCAAGCTATTAACAATTAATTAGAAGTTCTGACATCTATATGAGCTGAACTAATGTTACATTAGCGGCCACAAAGAGCGGGTAGGGAGGCACTGAACTTCCATGGCACAGTCTCACTCTGGCACCTGTGGTTAAACCAGAAACGGAGACTTTTCTACATCTCATGGCAGACAGCGGACTTCCTGGTGCACTGAAGAGCAGCTCACCACGATTCAGGAAGGGCCAAGGCAGTATCCTGCATATGCTTTTGAGCAGTTAGAAAATCATTAACTGCATCAGTGCTCTTTGTAATAAAATACCTATGAAAATGCTTCATGTCTTTTAGCCTTGTATTCCTTTACTATATTGGGAACAGATCTCCGACACTAATAAGCGTCTACGCAGATCTTCCACAGGCAGCACTAAAAGACAGGTCATTGTCCAGATGCCTGGGTGTACAGCAGGAGACATCCATTTCTCAGCAGGTGTTGGTGGGATTTCTTTGTTATCAAGGTTAATCTAACCTGAGCTTTTGTTTATGAAAAGAAGCAGTACTTTAAGATAAATTGGTTGGCACCGAGACTGTCGGGCTGAACTCAGAATAAATCAAACGTATTAGGTTAGGAGTTCCAGAGAAATTCTCTCTCTTCCTTACCATGACCAGCAGAAGAAACGCAACAGGTGTCTGTGTATCAGAAAATTCTTACCTGGGATGCCAAATACTGAAGAGACTAAATTATAAAGTGACTACATGATGCTGGTGTTTCATTCATTTCCCCACAAGACTACCACCCTTTTTAAATTTTCTTACATACATGTAATCTACCTTCCAATTTCTTGCTTTAAATACACTTCTCACAAATTACATTAAATATTTCCATAGATCAAATATGTTATATGCTTACCATCCGAGGCAGTACAGCGTGATGCCAATTCCCAGAGGACTAATCCCATGGCATACATATCTATTCTCAAAAACGCATCCCTTTGGAAGTTTATAGCACCTTCTAGTACCTCAGGAGCCATATACCTTCGTGTACCAACCTTGAAAGACAGGAAAGCATACAATTTGTACACTAAGAATCAACATGACCACAACTACCGCTCTAGCTGGTGCCAATCATAACAATACTGTAGACCAGTACTATTTTTTGTCAAAGATTAAGAATAGCCATGGTTATCCTTGCTTAGGACTATATCTTGGAAGTTTCTTGTATTCTTATATCCAATAATAGGGAAGAGGAATTAGAAACAATCGTATAGACTGGGCCCTATAAAGGATACTTACCAAGCAGGAAAATCTGAATATATTTTAAAGTAAGACATTTGCATAACAAATCACCGTCATTCTTTATTTTATCTAGTTGAAGATGTCCGTGCTCATTGCAGGGGGGCTGGACTAGATGACCTTCAAAAGGTCCCTTCCAACCCAAACTATTCTATGATTCTACGGTTCTCTTCCAGATTACAGTAAGGCTACTCTTCTTATTTCTTCACATCATAAGGGTGTGAAACATGCTTATGTTTCTCCCCATGACAGGAGCAGTAATAAAAATACCAAAGGAAGACTAGCTACCAAAGTGCAATTTATACCAGGAAAGTTAAATGAAATCACTTGCACAAAACTGTCTATTAAATGAACACTTTGGGGATAGCCATTATTTTGACCACAGTCAATGATGAAATTATATCATCCAAATATATCAGAACTTATATGGTGTCCAAATAAGATCTACTCCGCTATTTAAACCTTCACAGGAATAGCTATGTTTCTCTTAAGCAGTGTTACTGAGGTTTTATAATCTTATTGTAAGGATTTTATTTTTGTTGCTCAACCATAAACTGTGAAGTTCTGCCTAAAATTAAATATATTTAGTTTTCCAGAAACTGTAATGCTCTAAGCTCAAGCTTGTTATTTTAAAAGTACATGGTACTAAAACAGTTCCCTGTTGCATGACAAGTGCTTGATTAGTACTGTTGTCATTTCAGGAAAGTGACTGTTGCTAGGTCAGAAAGGTAGAAACTGGCTGCCAGCATCATTCCTCCATTTCTGAACAGTACCTCAGAACAATTAATAAAATATGGCAAACCCACTCTTTCATGTCCAAATCCTCTAGTAAGAATGAAAATAAGGGGGGGAGAGAGGCCATATAATGAGATGGGGGGAGGCTATGATCTGTAATCTAAAGAATTCTTTAATTTTTAGCCTGTGAGAAGAAATTGCCACACTCCTTGAATGCCTAAACTATTGACTTCCATTCACATGCAGTTAACAGTTGTATCATTTATGTAAATAGATCAGTATTTACCTGTCCATGTGTATCCCCTGCAGACTTTCCAGCCTCAAACTTTAAAGCTAGACCGAAATCAGCAATACAAGCTGTGAGATTATTTTTCAGCAGCACATTCTTGCTTTTGATGTCCCTTTCAAGTTAAGGAAAAAAATTAAGAGATCTAGAACATGAAATACCATATACAGTTCTAAGGAAAAAGTAATATAATAAAAAAAAAAAGAACATTATAATATGAAAGGCAAGAAAATTATAAAGCAGCAGTCCATTTAAACAACAAAAGAATCATAATGAAACCTAAAAGTACACTTGCAGACCTTTATTCTTATAGAAATAGATGAGACAGCAAGTAGAACTGTCATTCTATGCTTAGTTTTAAAATACATACAGATTTATAAGTATCTATGTTACAGAACAGAATAAATATGCAGTTACTACATACTTCAATTACAACTACATTTTGTTTGTTAAAATAATAGGAAACAAAACACGTTGAAAAATGAATCTTGATTGTTTCTAACAAGGAGATACATGATTTCCTGCAGAAACAAAAGATAATGGACTCGATCCAAGGACTCCCATCTGTCCTGTGTGTACCTCTCCCCCTCCCCCATTTTACCATCAGTCAAGCAGTTTTGCTCATGAAATTCCAAATTCTGCAGAATCTGTACTTCTCTATATGCCTTTTATTTTGGTTTCCACTATCATTTCAGCTCCCTACTTCTATTAATAGCTTTCTATACTTAGCTCATTTAAAAAAAACAAAACAAAACAGCAATTACACTCAACAATAGGCATAACGCCACTTACAGTAAATGTTTCTGTCTGAGGGCATTCAATATTACTTAAAGTTATATGCATACATGTTTAAGTTGTTTCAAATAGCTATAATGCCAATTATTTCATATACTGCTGTGAGTACTTAAATAATTAACTGTATAAAACCTAATAATTTATGACATTAATCACAATCACCACACCAAGTTCTATAAAGCATTAGCTAGATTTTTGCTTAGGCTGAGCAGATTTTTCTTACGAGGCTCTCGATAATTCTGGAAGGAAGACATAGAGTAAGTATTTGAATACTTCCTATTTATCCACGTTTCATATCCTTTAGCTCAAAGTTAAATACTAACAGTCACCTGAAAATATTTTAAATATACTATACCTATGTGAGATGGCAGGTTTATGTCCATCTTTTAGCCCTGGTATATCCTCGTGAAGATAAGCCAAGCCTCTAGCCATAGTTTGAGCGATGTGACATAGCTCATTCCAAGAAACCACGTTAGCCTTGAGAAAGTCTGTTAATGAACCCTGCACAGCAAAAAAGAAAACCAATTACAAGATCAATTTCATTCTCACCTGATCATAAAGAAAACTTCTAGATGGCCTCCATCATTAAAGAACACAATATGCCTGCCTGCCTTTCTCTGTTTTCGATAGACCAGGTAATTACACACACATACACAAACAACTGCTAGTTTAAACAACAAAAATTACCCTTTGCATCATCTCTAGTCCTTGAATAGAATCAAGATGCATCTACGCATCACCTCAACAAGCAAAAAGCGCAATGAACAAGTTCAGTGGCACACGTGACAATGAACTGCGCTTAACTGTCAGTGTCAGAAACGAGAGCCAGACTTAAGATATTTAAATTCCTTATAAAGACAACCCTGCTCTTACAAGCGTGATTTATAATGTTCCAGGCACAGGAAATTACAAGTTAGATTCACCTTCAAGAATCTTGCCAAACTCTGTATGACCATTCTGTAGGACCTTTAATGGAGTGTCTGTCTTTTCTTATGGACCAACAACCGCAAACTCCAGTTTCACAACATAGTTTCAGAGTGAAATACACACTCTGAGTAAATGTAACAAGATAAAGTAAAAATCATTCAACATAAAGCTCTTCAAACTCACTTCTATAGCCCACTCTATACACACATTTTCATGGATTTACATATTATCCAGTTTGTGAGATGTCAGTGTCACATGTTGCAGTGTGAAAAGCCAATACAAAGGGAAAAATGAACAAAGAGCTGTCAAAGTGTAGAGGCTACACTTTAAAAATTAAATAGAAAATTCATATTTTCCAGAGTCATCTCAGATGCCATCTTTCCAACAGTAACAAGATTTTTAAAACTCTTAGACAAAAGAAACAAACAAAAAAAATGGCAATAACCTTTCAGAAAGGCAAATTAGTTTGATATTATCTACTTGATCGTGAAGATCTGTCAAAAATTTCAAATAACTGGATAGTTTTAGTCTTCTAAATTATTAAAGCAGAGGCGTAAGTGGGACAAAAATGCCAGAATAAAGAATGTAACTTTCAATACTAGAAATATGATCTATGACCTAATCTTAATGCATTAGCATGTCCATATTATACAGATTTATATTTTCTCAAATCTGCTACAGGTAACATGTTCCTAATACCTCTTTGCCTGTGCCAGTGCTAAATTTAAGTTTGGGTTGTTGTTTGGTTTGGGAGTTTTTTTCCCCCCCTCTTTGTACTTACATCTCTGTGACAGTTACATGCATTAAAAAAAAAAAAAAAAAAATCTAAGTGGATAAAACAGAACAGTGAACATATGCTTAATTACATATATTTATGTTTCTTATTGTGGTTATCACAATACAAGTGATATGTATTACTTCATTCTTATAGACTCAAATCAACTAACAAAAGTAAAACAAAAATAAAACACCACCATCTCTGCAAGATGGAGTTTGTTTAATTTAGGCAGGTTTAAATGGGGGGATATTCAAAAATACATATTCTAAAAAGCAAACAAGTAGAATGTATTTTTGTTTGTTTTCTAAAACAAGTCCTCCATTAAGTAAAGACTGATGACAACTTTCTCAGCTGGCTGAAAATAAATTTAAATAAATTCATATCCAATGAAAAGAGACAAGCTAAGATTAAGCAAAAACTATTTTGAATTTTATTTCTTAACTGTCTCAAGTTCACATTTGTGACAAATTTCTAAGGCTGTTCTTCCTCTGTCATAACCATAAAAAAAAGAAACTACATTGAGAACTAAACATACCTTTTCATGAAATGCTGTAATTAACCAGAGATCGACATCAATGCTAGTGCCTCGTTTCTCTGCACCAATGAACTGCAAGATATTGTCATGCTTCATTCCAGGTAAACTGTAAATTTCATATTCATTCTGCCATGACTGTTTGTCCTTTAAACAGAAGAACACATCAAACCAAGTTAATACCATAATAATGAGAATAAGAGGTACTTTCCCCGAGAGAAGTTTCCTCCTACAAACCACCATGCATCTGTAAATGATCTGTCAAAATTTCTAAAACCTTTTTTTTTTTTTTTTCCAAAACAGGATTTACTACCTAAAGGAAAGAAAGCATAGTGTATGCTATTAACATTGAGGCTCATTATTTAAAAATTACAAATGTTTAGACTAATACCAATATTTGTGCTACAAACTACTGACCTAACATACACAAAAATATGAAAAACTGTCTTTCTTCACATATATTATTTCACTATATTCACATATAGTGGAAAATTGTCTGAGAAACTTAAATGTGTTGTAAACAAACATCAACTGTTGAAAACAACCTCAACTATCACAGATACAAACCACGGAAACCCAGAAGGCTGTAGATTAGGATTGGAGTCTACATAATGCAAATCATTACAATTGCTTTAGTCTTAAAAGCATGGTTCAATTTTTGTATTTCCGGAATCTACAAGAACCCCATAAAGAATCAGAAATAGGTTTTTGTGAATTAAAAATAATGAACAGAGTGTCAGATTTAATTTAAGTTGTGCTGATGGCTGAAACCAGCATAAATACATGCTATTTCTCCTAGAAGAATAAGAACCTGCAAATGTATTTATTCAGCAAGTCACCACTTGGTTCATCAGCAGAACGCACAAGCACATTTCTTCACCTCAAGTAGCAGTGGGTGTTTTTAATTAATGTAAAATCTATCCAGTATTATTGTGTATAATCACTTTGTATTCTTTAACTAGACTAGATCTTAAAATTATGAGCACAATCTATTCTAAAACGTGGCTTTCAGAGAGTACTTGCTGGGAAATAAATACTATTTCACTTAATTGAGGCATGTTTAATTGGAACAATCGCCTTATAGGTTTGCATTTCAGGACATATCTTCTAAGTACAATTTAATTTGAAATATCTTGATCGAGACGTGTCAGAGCTGCTTAAAACTATTCACACCGAATACGTATTTTTATGACTAGAAACATACAAATTTCACAGAGTTTATGTTTCAAAAACATGTTTGCTGCATTAAAATACTTATTTTAATTCAATAAAACTCCACCTGCACATTTTTCAGCTCCAGAAATTTCTATCTAGATTTCCAGTATACACTGAAAATTCTCTAAAACAAAAGCCTCTTATTGTGACTAGAAAAGCTGGTTTAACACTACAATATTACAAGCTACACAGGACACTAAGAACTTCTGCTTACCTGAATAGGGAATATTTTGACCGCAACATACTCATTTAGCAGTTGAGCTTTCCATACACAACCAAATCTTCCTCTAGCTTTGATCTCTAGTAACTGTAATGGCTTCAAACCCATCAACGGTGAAGGTGGTGGTGGTCCAGGATCCTGAAATCAGGTTAAAATCATTAATTAATTTCGCTATTATATGTGCTATCTATGATGACGGCACTAGAAATAAAGACTTTGTAAACTGCAAAAGACTTGTATCACATACCCAACCCCCCTTGCAACAAATTCCCCCAAACAAACCAGAAACAAAACAGCAACCCTTCTCCGCAGGAAAGAAATGAGATTGTAAAACATGCTCAGAATTAATGTGCAAGCGACAGCGTAACAACAGTTACAGTATAAATCTGTCTAACCAGGTGTAAAAGCACAGCAGAAATTAAGGAATAAAGATAATCAAGCTTTACTTGTTACTTTTTTTTTTTTTAAGAGAGAGAACTAAAATCAGCACCTTTGATATATTTATTGGGGTTTTTTTGACACAGGTGTGACCTGTTTAATCGTTTAGTTCCACAGCCTGGGGACTTGACTCTACACAGCCACAAAGTCCATCCATCTCCATGGGACTGACGCTGCATCCCCTCAGCCGGGAAGCAGAAGACACCTACGTCAGCAGTGTGGTTGGGGGCAGCGGTGCAGAGCCGAAGTGAACCCCCTCACCCTCGCCACGTACCGGTTCAGTTCTCACAAGCCACTGAGCTGGTACCAGCACACCGATACTTCAACAACTCCACCGCTTACTGCGCACGTAAGGTTGCAAACCAGTACGTAGGCACGCCATGCCGCTACAAGGTCTTCCGGTACCTAACTTTTTTTTTTTTTCATTCAGAAACCACCGAACCACATGCACCGTGCAGACATTTGGCACAGGAAACCAAACATCACCGTCTCCGCAGTCAGCCACCCCAGCCGCACGAATGGCGGTGCGAGGAACCACAGCACCGATGCTTCAACCTACTGATCCACTTCTACTGCTCCCAACGTTTGCTAACGTGGAGAGCCAATATGTTACTGAAATGCAAGTACTTGGCTGTAGCCTAGACACAGAACTGGAATTAAATTTAAGATTAAATTAAATTAAATTTATCTTGTCGTATCTTACTGTATTTGTACTTCACTGAGGGGCCAGCCCAACAATTCCTTTTCAAGTAAGCACAAGCTGGGAAGTACAATTGCAAGTTTGATAGAGCTTCCATACAGCTATCCATATAATCACCAATCTTACTAGAGATTTGAACAATCTCCCTTTCTGGGGAAGAAAATGGGACAGCTTATTGAGTATCTTGTTTTTTATAGTTTACATATCCCTTACATATTCTGTATCATCCACATCATCTGAACATAACAAGCAGATTTTCAACTTTACTGCCAAAGATGTGCTTCTTTCTGGGCTGTCCTTTCCTCTCCAGTCTACCACGTTAGATTAGCTTGTACCTATGTAAGCTTCTTCCCTACCATGAACAAATCCATCAGACCCATTTACATATGCCTCTGCATCAAAGAATATCGCCCTACGCACAGAACCGGAGAAACAAGATCTCTTCTGTCTGATCCCTGTTTTCTGCAGGAAAATAAGTCAAGTTCTGCTCTGTAGTGGTCACTAAGCAGAATTACCAATACTGTCACCACGAGATACAGCTCCACCTTCCTTCCACACAGACCCGTATCTGTTTAAACCACAACTTGTTCCTCAGTCCAAATCACTACAGAGCACGGCAAATGTCAATCCATGCCAGCAGTGACAGCGTGGGGGCAGGCTGCTAGACCACAGATGGAAGAGGGTGAACGGCTACTTGCCACGCAGGTCTGCGGAGACCACAAAATTATACCACAAGTCTCAACATTACATACGAAAGAAACAAACATGCAAATGAAAATTAGGTATCACTTAAATTATATCCATGCTGCAGAATACAACGAAAAAACCCCTGAAGTCTACTATTCAAAAAACCCTCCAAAACATGGCTTCTCCATTTTTTTCCAGTCACAGCTGTAATGCTGTTTTAAAGAGAAAGAATGAAAAACACTGGAGTAGCTGCTTCTGCAAAACAAATGAGAGTACTCAATAGTTAAGTATTTGAGCACTTTGGTTAGCAACATAAAAGTCTTGTGCATGTTAAAGACATTTTCTGAACAAGTGTGGGTTTAAGTATACTTTACTATTATTGTGAGAATGGATACAAGCGCTTCTGTATCCAACACAAATTTTGAGTAGTTTAAGCGCAGGAACACATAACCATTCCCTTATTTCTTATTAAGCAACAAATACATCCTTCGAAAAGAACAAGTATCATAGAGAGACAGATTTATAGCAGTTGAAAGAAACTTTAACCCAATTCCACAAATTAATAACTGTAAAAAAAATTATTCGAATTAGAGACACATTATAATACTATCCTCAAAGAAGTACGAAATCCTTTCGCAAATATGACAGCGACAGATGCTTAAAGTTATTAAATCAAAATTGCTGGGTTTAAACTGGACAAACAACAATACAGAAAATGAAGTTTAAGAGTTAAGTTTTCCCTCCTGTGCTGCCTTTCATTCAATGCCAAAGCCCTTTATGAATATTCCAGGCACAAGGGAAATCACTGTCCTCAATTTGTAATAGTTAGTTACAAACGAAACTAGAAAAAAGATGCCCAAATTCACTCATAAAAGCCTACTTTAACTTGTAAAAAAACTCTGTTATTTTTAAGAATCCTGAGCACTGTGTAGCATCTGGGGATTTACAATCAGTTAATTCAACAATTTTTTAAAGTTTTGAAACTGGCGACTTGCCTAAATTAAGAGAACGATTTGTGGGAAGTAAACCCAAATCTCACTTTGCTTTAGCAGCTAGAAGAACTAACTCCCCTTCCTTTCCATACCCTCCACCCAGAAAATCTGCTGGTATTTTGAAGCATGCTATGTAAATTTTTCCTCAACCGTCAAGCAAAATCTTCTCAAAGATTTGATGAAAAAAATTACAGCATCTATCACATGAGAGAAAGCAGTAACTCCTTAGTGAAAACTGGCCAGCAAAACCTGGTGCTTCTTACTTTCACGTTAGGCTACAATACTTTTCATATACCTGAATTTCGTATTTCCTAGAAAATCGTGGCATTTCAAAATATTCTCCCACTGCCTTATATAGCAACCTCCTGTGGTTCCCTGCACATTTCCCTTTCGTGTTGAAGCATTTCTATGAAGTCAAAACTTCCGGCGTGCTTATGAAGAAGCAACACACCCACACACACAAATCAAAACAAATCCTGACTTAAATTGGAAAGTATAATTGCCTTCTGTTAACGTAACTAAAAAGAATAGTTTTCCAGTTTTTTTTCTTATTTTTTTCTAAACAACTTTGTTAAAGACAACAGGCATTTACTCTAAAAACTGCAGGTACTATTTTTATACAGAACCATTTCTTGACAATGTTTTCAACTTGCTCTACTTCTAAGCAAAAATGTTTAACATGCCACAGGCATAATTATTTTTGTATGGCTTTTTAAAATCATCTCTGTGGCGCCAAGGATGATGATATAATGTGAGTAAAGATATAATGTGGATATATTAGTCTAACAGCTTGCCACAGCTGTCAAAAAATAAGGGCCCAGTTTCCCATTCCCAAGCTTTCCCTGTCCCTTCCCTCGGGCTGATTCTGGTGCTTGTTTGACCACACAGCAAATCAAGGCAATACACGAGATTGCCAGAAAGCCTTTATTTATTTATTTATTTATTTTAAAAATCAGGCTAGTTTTCTGATAGTTTAGCAAATTGAATCAGTTTGCAACAAGGTCCCGGTTAACACAAAAAGCACTGCAAGGCAGAGGGGAAGCAGGGCACTCTTTTGGGAGCCGCGAGCCACTGGCCCATGTAACTTCATCCCAAGTGCTCCACCATCTCAAAGACACGCTCTGTCCTAACCCCGGGGCAATTAGCAGAGCCAGCAGGAACACTCCTGCTGCACAATGATCTACTGCCAGATAAAAAGCAGAAGCAGCTACATTGGCAGAAAGTACTTGAACTGGCTGGGTCATACGATGCATAGTACTCAAGACAACTAGGCTTTACTCTTCCCATAGCTCAAAGCCACTGATCATTAAACCCCTAAGTCTGGGTTGTATGGTGATCTCAAAACGATGGACATCTCGTTATGGTGTACACTGTAAGGTTTTTAAATCTCAAACAGGGCTTTTTGGTTCTGATTTTTATAGCTGGGAGTTGCAGTCAGCTGTCAGGTAGTACATATTAGTCATACTGGAAAAAGAACAGAAGGAAAAATATTCATTGAAGAATGGTAACTTCCAGAAATAGGTTTCCCTAAGTGTCTTCAAGAATGGTTCTCAAGATCCAAGAGAAGCTTAACAAACATGGAACTACAAATCTATTAAAAATATGATCAACTGAATAGATTGTTTAAAGACCTGCCCCAACACAGTCTGTCAGCACTTGAGTTTATCTCCAGTCATGTCTCTCATATGGCAACTGAATCAGGTGATTCATCACGTACAACAAAGGGAAAAAAAGGCCAATTATCCAAATGGGATTGTACATAGACGCATTTATCCTTCCTGACTCCAAAATATAAACAAATTCTCAAACTTCCAGAGCACACACAAGTTTTCTTTGTTAAATGGGGCAGTATTTCCCCTTGGTTACGTTTATTCTACAGGTAACATTGTGAATATGGTTGAAAAGTTCTCATTGAAAGAGTCTGGTGACGATCTTGGTTGTTTCCTCCTTTTCTAGTTTGGGACTGGCTCATTTTCAACCAGATCATCTGTAAAGTTAGGATCCAAATACAGTAAAAGGAGTCGGAATTCTTAAATTTTGTAATTATTCTACAATTGACTCTGATTTGTATCAAACTACATTTCTTTTAAACAGTGACAATTTTTCTCTTCTTCATCCCACAAAATCCTCTATTTTACCATACATTGCAGACATATTCCCCACAGTAATATAAACAAAGTATTTCCTTGTAGACAGGATACTTCTTCTTCCCTAACTGAAATTACAGCATTTGAAGCAAAACAGTAATACAAATAGAAGGAACTCTGATAACTCTTTTCAGATGCAAGATATTCAGGAAAATATTTAAATAGCACCATTAT